TACTTCACCTCTGCAATTGCAAGTAACAGCTTTATGATCTATCTACAATAGCCAATAAAAATTGCTTAGCAACTAGTATTCTGATTCAGTGGTTTCGAGAAAATCAGGTTCAGCGATGAGTTATTGGTTCAGTGAGGCACCTGCAGTTGGTGCATCAGGGGCAGTCTTTGGATTAGTAAGACATTTTATTGTTTTTTCTTAGCCGGACTCTTTTCCTGGATTTCTTAGATGCACCATAAAACCTGCCAGATAATCTTGGTTGAATTTATTTATGGCAATAGAGTAGAGGAATCCAGTAAAATCAGGTTCATTGTCATGCAGTAACACAAATAAAGTTGATATTCCTGCAATTTATTACCTTGTTTATTTTTTCCCCATTTCTTATTAATCTCTCTTCAGAAGATTTAATGTTTTCCTTTTCCTGTATTTCACCATTTAATATATAGCTTCATCTTTTACAGTTTTCATGAAATTTGTCAGCTAAAATTTTGTAAGCTGCGAACTTATTAAATTTGTTTCAAAATAAACCTCTGCAACTTCTGAATATCATTTTACAGGATTTCCTCCTTCAAAAGAGAAACAATAAGTATAAATGAAAAAGAAACATGTTTGTGAGGGACATGCTGCTTTGAGAAAAGAAGGATTAGTTCATATCTTTATATATTGAAATTTAAAAATCTGCCTATGTACCTACTCAGTGTAATGGAATGCCAAGTGAATCTTCTTTCAAGCTATTCTGGCATGGTATTGCTCTTTCTCATCTCCTATAATTAATCAAACCGCTGGCTCTGATCTTTGATTTAGGTTGGATCTCTTGCTGTCTTTGTCATGAGGCATAGAGGTCTGGTTGGACGTGGCAAAGAAGATCTACAGCACATAGCACATGTAATTGCCGTAAATATGGTATGTTCCTTCTCTAGTTACTATGTCTTGAAGTTTTTCCCAACTCATTCCTTTATCTGTCTTAATAACTTAATCAGCTCCCCTTCCAATTTATGTTGGCTGGATAAATGGATAAATAAACATAACTTTTTGTTTTTGCAGGCTATGGGGTTGTTCTTCAAAGGCATTGATAACTGGGGACATGTAAGTAGAACAAGAATGCTTGCTCTCTTTTTCACTCCTAATTAATGCTTTGTTTAGAAATTAGGAGCGTTGAATTTCAATGAACCTCCTTCACTATGTATCCTTTGATTAATTTTTGACAATAGACAAAGAAAAGTGGCTTATTAGTGCATGAGTGTGCGTGTAGATCTCTCTCTTCCCTATCCCCGCTCCCTCCCCACACTGTCACATGCGCACACATGCGCACGTGCACTCACATAGATGCACATGTGGCTAATTAGGGTTGTGGAACATTTGGACCTCATTTTTTTCTCTTTCAACTTTCAGTTGCATTTGAATTCTGAGTCCCATGGTAAAGCACAATCTTTAATTTTCATGCCAAGGATTGAGTTTCTTGATTACTTATTTTCTGCTATTTTTAGATTAGCCATAAAACTGTAACAAAATGTGAAGAGTCTCTATGGATAGTGTTGTATTGGTGAAATAATCATTTGAGGCAACCTATCCGGATCTGTTAGACGAATTTAAAAAACACGAGCTTGCATATGGTTCCTTCCATGTCTGCACTAAAATTCCTTCTTGTTTGTGTTATCCTCATCTTTGTTTTGAGTGTGACATTTGAATCTCAGTTTGGAGGCTTGCTCGGTGGAGTTGCCACATCATGGCTTCTAGGTCCTGCATGGAAGTACGAATCTCCCTCCAGTGATGGTCGAAGAATCTTTTCTGATAAGGCTCCTATTTTCTACCTCATCAACGCAAAGAAGAGATCCTAGAAGAGATCCTAGACATTTTATTCCTATGGAAGCATATTGCCATCCCTAAACTTACTGTGATCAACAGACTTTGTAGGGAAGCAGAGCCCTAAACCCTAATTTACTTTGGTAGGGTGTATCATCCAAGTGTAATGTTGTTTCTCACTATAAAGAAGAATTAAATTACTTTGACCTCTTTTTTTCAGTTAAGGTGTCGCAAATTTAAAAGTTTACCTCAAATTAGGCAGAGCATCCACGTTCTAAGTCACACAATATCCTGCTGCAAACGAAAACTTTTTGGGTTTCGGGTGCGACAATAAAGCCGTTGACTTTTGTAACACTTGCTGTTATATTTACCAATGTTAAATAATTTTGTGAACTTAAAAATTATTTTTAATTTCCTTCTATATTTTAAAAATAGTTTCAATTATTTAAAAATCCTGGAAAATTATTTTAGTATTCCAAAAATGAATTATAGCCTCCAAACCCTTAATGCAAGTCTCAAACCAAAAATCATAGCTTCTGAACTTATTTGAACTTGTTCCAAAACCGTTCGCAAGCCTTGAAACCTAATCATAAACCCATTATAGGACTCGATTAGGCTTGGGTACTCACGTAACTTGACCTAGGGCTTTACGATTAATGTTTTGATCTCAACCCGACGTAACCGGACCTAACAGAGACTTGTGTTGGCGAATTTAATGTTTCCTCAACAAAATAAATTCAGAAGTTTCTTGGAAAATTTGCAGCCATTATTTCTTTTAAGTTTCAACTATTCTTTCTTGCGCACTTGGTCTCTCTCTATGATGATTTTGACCACATTTCAACAGTTATTTTTCAGCCAAAACTCACCAATCTCTCTTTCACAATTTCATTCTAACCATGCCAAAAATTATAGAAGACAAAGAAGAAAAGAGTGGAGACGATTGATCGGGATCACTAGTTATAAATTTAGGCTCGAGTGGGATTGAATCTCTAAGAGAAATTAAAGATAACCCAATACATGATCTGATCTACAACTAATAAGATATCAGAGGCCATCCATTATTAATGTCATTCTACAAGCAGGTGAACCCTATGAGGGTTCATGAAATGCATATTTATTTGAGTTACACATTATGGTCAATTTGATGAGAAATAAATTGCTGGATGTCTCAAAGGAGAATACATCTTCAAGCATCTACCTTTGCTGCCACAGATGCATAACTTACGCTGCTGTCCCTCATAGTTTTGCACTGATTCAACTGCTCATATCGGAGAAAATTGATCTTTATGCTCGTTGAACAGTTCTTCAGCATCTGAATGCATTGAAATATGATTGAAAGGGATGAAATAATGATCAAAACCAATATTCTAGATGCAGTTAACTGAAGAACTGGAGTCCAAGTTATGAGCAATGAAAAAAAAAATCATTTTGCAATCTAGGTAAACCAAGTTTAATTCTTCAAAAAATTTCTTCTCCCTCAGATTTTCCCTCTCAACCTGATTTGATGTCTTCAATGTAGTCACTAAAACCCTAGCTTGATGTATTTGCAGAGATGCCAGAGCCGCCAGGAAAAAAGAAATCAAAAAAAAAAACGCCATTGAAGTTTTCGAAACATCAGCCGCCTAGGCGGGCTAGGCGGCTCCTTTTTTTTTTCTTTCAAAAACTAGTATAGCCGCGCGGCTATACTCTTTAAATAAAATATTTAAAAACGTATAGCCGCGCGGTTGTACTCCATAAATAATGTATTTAAACATTATAGCCGTGCGGCTGTACTCCTTAAATAATATGTGTCAAAAGTATAGCCTCACGGCTGTACGCCTCAAATAATATATTTAAAAAGTATAGGTCTTCGAACATTCAACATAGTTTCAGCAATGAATGAACGATAATCCGCAATGTTTGACAGCAGTAGTGGGAAATCACTTCAAAAGCTTCAAGACATGGATTCATACCATTAGCATCTTACCGGCTCTTAATTCATTGATATAGAGAACTGGAAAATAATCACTTAAAAATTGATACGTAAGTACTTACAAATGCAGTTGCCTTCCCCTTGCTGTTTCGATAGCCTCTGGATCTGCAAAATGTAATCAAACCAGTGAACACTACCCAAAGTTTATTCCAAAGAAAGCTTAATCATTTTTACAAGGAAACTCACACTAAATAGTAAACAAGACTGCAAAATAGAGTTATAAATTGACAAAATGGAAAGAATCATCTAAACCTGTGTGAAGAGGACCTAAGAAGCTGCCACCGATTCCAACAACTATACTATCTTGCATCTCGCTGGGAGTTTTTGATTTACACTTTTTACCCATCTTATGGATCCAAAAGCTGCATTTCACCCAGATTACATTATTGAGAATTGACCAAATGTATTTGCAGAGATGCCAGACGCGCCAGGAAAAAAGAAATCTGACAAAAAAAACGCCATTCAAGTTTTTGAAAAATCGGCCGCCTAGGCGAGCTAGGCGGTTCCTGTTTTTTTTTTTTCAAAAAACAAATTAAGTAAATAGTTTAGCCGCGCGGCTATACTATATTTAAGTTTCATAATTGCAAATTGCAATAGACCCGCCAGGAAAAAGAAAATCTGGAAGAAAAAAAAACGCAATTCAAGTTTTCGAAAAATCGGCCGCCTGGGCGCGCTAGGCGGTTCCTTTTTTTTTTAATAAAAAATAAATAGTATAGCCGCTCGGCTATACTATATTTAAGTTTCGTAGTTGCAATTCTGTCTGAAGGTACCTATCTTTCAGAAAAAGAAAAGTAAATAATTCAATATGAGGTCTCTCAATTCTGAGACTGATTTATAAAAACACCATTGATAGCATATGGATAGCATCATCATGTGTAACAATCACACCAACAAATTTCTAGTTGTAAACATGGCCATGAGCTTTTTGGTCAACATCAACGCTAATTCTTTTGTCAATGTTGGCGCTTGGGCTATTGCCAACTGAAACCCTGGCGTTGGTGCCAAAGCATAGACCAAACAAATAGATATTGTCACAACCACCAAAGCAAGAAAATAAAAGTTAAGACCTACTAAGGGTAATTTACAGGTTATAGAACGTAAGATGAAGTAAAACATTTAAGCTTTCATGGTGAGTGTAAATAAGTTGGAGAGATGAGCATTTTGTTGGTGCAAATAAAAACTCAAAAAACACAAGGCACAAGGGATCAGGCCACTCAATGATTCACCAAGATTTTTTTTTTCATATAAAGATGTTGTCACCGCCCCTTCACAAGTATATGATACTAACCTATACAAATTGTGTATCAATTTTTACTTTGCCTTGCATTGCAAATGCTCAAAAAGAGCCTGCATATTTTACAATTGATTTCAAGAAAGACAAGGTTCTTTTTGAAAATTCTGCAAGCTAAGTATTCTTCAACTGGTCACACTATCTCTAGGAGGTTTTCCTTTAGGAATGACCGTCCAGTAGTTGCGACATCACAAATGTAAAAGAGAGATGAGAGGCCTGCCACCTTTTTGGCTTTGACCTGCAATCATCTCCTGATTCACTTTTATATGTGTTGTTGCATAAGGAACCTGTTGTGTCAAACTTTTCACATGGGCACTCTACCATCCTCGCCAAAACAAAACTGAGCATGGCACATCATTGTGCTGTGGTGTTTTTGTATGCCTTGCAAATTCTCCTTTGCATAGAGAAAACGAACCATCAACGTAACCAACAGAGGAGATAAAAGATCAAGAGTCCTGAAAATTCCAAGAAACGGATCCCCTTGTAGAAAGGTCCTACTGCTGAAGCTGCAAAATGCATACATCATGTGATTAACTTGCATATCAGATGTAAATATCATATAATTTGGCATTGAAAGCAAGGCAAAAAGTAAATCAGCAAAAGACAATGTCCATGGATGCATCTAACAAAACATTGGCTTATTTGTTTTGGTTGTCAAATGGCTGCAGCATTCCTGAGTTATTACATACATTTGGCTCTTTACAGATCAGGTCAGTATTAAAATTCCATTACTGATTTCGGTTCATCATCATTTCACATTAGTCCCACCAGTTTTAACTCAAAATTTATTCTCAAGTCTCCATTAAGGTTGCACCAAATTTCAGTTTGTATATTTGTTTATCCAAAAGGATCCCAAAATCTGCTTCAAATATTTGTTTTGTAGACAAGTTCATATAATTCCAAATGTATATACTTGTATAAAATACCTAGGTAATTTGAATATGAACTGTATGACATACGACTAATTGTATTGAAAAGCCAATCAAAGGATTTAGAAGAAATTACCAGATTCAAAATTAAATCTTGCTAAACCTCAAACAGTATTTCTTTGGTCCATAGGATTAACTTCTCGTAACCGGCATTCGTAAAGCAGGGCAATTTCTACTCTTATCAAACTCATGAGATCAGAAGTCACACAAACTGACTACCAACACCTCAACTACAGAGGGACCTATTTTCAATTAAGAAAAACCTATATTGCCAGAAGACAAAATTATGAATAAAGATGCTTAATATCTTATTAACACAGCAAAGAATCATAATTTCTTATAAACTCTAACTCTGAGCCTGCATTCTATATGAATAACTAACACTGCCAAAACCATAAAAAGCAAACAACATAATGCATTAAGTCACCAAACATACATGCCATCTAAAAAACAGGAGAAGAAAAAAAAGTAAATCTTACTGCTTGTAACTTACATGACAATGATGGGGAAGGTGATGGAGAAATCAAGTCTTGTGCACTTCCCTTGTTTCCTGGACTGGGAGCATTGGACACAACAGGTGCAGGTGACACATGTGGGGACAATTGAGATGAGGGACTCATAGAAGGCGAGTAAGGGGAACCATTAGGTGCATAAGTAGGAGGAACAGTAGGGTTAGGATGAGAAGTTGGTGAGGAGCTTGGAGGAATTCCAGAACTGTGGTATGGACATGGACGAGGATGTGGAGGTACCTTGGATGGTGCTGGTGGGAGATGATTACTGTCAGGTGAGGGTGCTGGAGAGTGAACTGGAGAAGCAGGATATGGAGAAATTGTTGGCTCTGGAGATGGAGCAGGAGAAGGAGTAGGAGGGGTTGCAGCAAGTGTACCCTTAAGATAAGAAGATAAACTGATACTTTTAACTTTACCAAATACTGAGTTATCAAGGCCAAGATTTTTTGCTGGAGAACCAGTGATTGTTTGAGCCAACTGCTTCAATCTCTGTGGCACAATGCCCCCAAACTCAGACATGAGAGATGCTTGAACTACAACTGGGGCATCTGTAGTTGAACCCAATTTGTTTGTAATTTGCAAAAATACATTCTGCATGAAGAGAAAAAATGCACTTTTTATCACTAAAGTACAATGCAAACTCGAGAGCATCATCCAGTACTAAGATTGTTTAAGTTGATAATATGGGTCCTTAACAACTACGAAAATCCAGATGGACATTTAAATTTGGAAAATGCACACTTGTATACACATTATCCTTTTAAATCTTCAGGAAGAAAGGTCGGCACTCTATGTCGCTACCTTTTTGGTGTCTTTGTTTCCATAACTGTTAAGATTATGCTTTATATTTCATAACTGAAAACAATTCTTGCATAGATCTCATGTATGTGCAGAACTTAGCAGCTATAAGAAAGGTTTGGATCTGAAATGATGATTCCAGCATGTTAGAATATTAAATAAACTGTTGTCCCACGTTAAAGTTTTAGGAAATAGTGCTGAACCAAAGTTCATAAATCAGAAGCCCAAAAGTTGGTGCCTGGAAAGAACTGTGCGAAAAGTTACTCAAATAGTGGTGTTATACCTCATAAGACCTTAGATGCAATCCAAACCTCAACTGCTCCTTTAACTGAACAAAGTTTTCCACTATGTCTGATGTAGAATTATTGAGAGTAAAATTAAATAGGATCTGGGGTATCTGCCAGATCGAAGCAGATTGCCCAGGAATCACAGTGATTCCAGCCGGAAACTTCAGAATCTCAAACATAGATGGCTGCCCGAAAATTGATGTTGTCACCGTAAGATTGGTTTGCTTAAGGAACAGCTCAACTAAAGATGACCTCAGTACACTTAAGGACACTGGAATCATTGGAGCATTTATTGGATCAGAAAGAACCCCAAAAACCACATTAGTCCAGTTATATGCATCATTTTGGTGCATGGACAAAATAGCCACCTGTTGAGAATAAGCATACTTCAGTTTGACGATTCACTTTGTATGAAAGCAATATGATACGGTATATAATGCAAAAGCTTGAAATTGTACCTTTGTACCTGGGACACCTATTTCCCCATTGATATCATATTCTAATCTTCTGATGTGTGGAACAAGGTCCATAACTGGCTTTTCCAGTCTAAAGTATGCCTGAACTGTGGCTGGAAAAAGATAAAGAAACACATAAGCATTCAACTTTTTACTTCTGTAAGCATGAGACGAAATCAGAAACCCTAAATCTTAATAATAAAAAGATAGAAAGGTTAAAGCAATAAAGAACATTCATGTTAGCTCCAAATCATCAACAATAGTATTGGAAATATCAAATTTCCAATTAATCTTTAATTTCTAAAAACATTAAATGGTTTTTTTTCTTTTTGGACCAGTGAAAAAGATTGTTCTAGTATGGAAGGTACAAAGATATTACATAATTGGGTCGTCTTAATTCAGCAGCAATTATCTCCGACATTAGCGAATTGGTACAATATTACCATAATCACATATACGGCCTAGACTAATATAATTATATTTATCTATCGAAATATCAAAAAATATACTCCCCCCAATTACTATAATCATATATCTAATTGCCTCTTGCCCTCAAATAATATGCATGCATTAGAATCCAGTCTCTGCAGTCTGCACCATGCAGTCATTAGGAGCCCAGTTGATTTTTGGAGTTGTTTGAGGTGAAATTCAGTGAGTCTCGGGTTGGTATCCCTAGACTGAAAACATTTCTCTTAAGACCTCTTAATTGCCCAAATTTGGAAATTGACATAGTTCACTATACATAATGACATTTCGGTGCATCCACATTCTATCTTTGAGGCATAAACTTTTGTTGATCCTAGAGTATTGTGTTTTAGGCATGGTAGGACATTCTTTACTTTTCGGAATTGCATGACACCTAACATGTTTATGGCAGTGCTAATATTACGAGCTTGATGTATATATTATTTTATGTAGTTGCTAGGATACTGGAGTTCCAGTTTGTAAGTTGACAATTGTTTTTTATTTTGCATTTGAGGTTAGTTGCTTGTATCTTAACTAGTCTTTTCTAATGAGACCAAAAAAACGTAAAAACTAGTGTTTCCTAACAAGATATTTCTCTAGAATTTAGTATTGACAAATGTTATTGTTATTATCATTATTATTATTCTTTATTATTGTTACTGTAATTCTGTAAATAATTATTTTGATAAGAAGAAAAACACCATTATCAAAATAAAGTGATAAAAGTACAACAACAGTGAACAACCAGTTCCCGGAAGCTAAAATAATAAAATCTATCAGCACACAATTTTGATCAGAGTTAAAGCAACAAACAAGAAACCAAAGCACAAAAAGCTCAATACACAGCAGCCCCCAATCTGCATAAACAAAGAGACAGTGATTAATATCACAGATCTAGCTCCAGAATTTGTCTTGGTATTACTTGACTTTTTATTACTTTTTGCTAGGGCATTAACTTTTAATCTAACCTTCTAATACAAACTCACACCCCCTTTTTAGTTTTCTAATCCTTCTCTTTCTGATAAATGGAGAAGGCACCAAAATAGGGTCAGACCACTCAATGATTCGCCATGATACTTTTACATAAAGATGTATCCTGCTTCTTCACAAGTATACGATAGTAACCTATACAAATCTTTTGTAACAATTTTTACTTTGTCTGGCATTGCAGATACTTAAAACAGATATGGTTCTTTTGGAAAATTCTCCAGGCACACTCTTAGACTGCTCAGAGTTCATATTTCGTTAAGGTCAATTTGGTTGCATGACAAGTTTTTTTTATATGAGTTAATTTACATTACAGTTAAATTTTTGGTTTTTATTCTTAAAATGGAAAATTTTTTCAGGTCTATCATCATTCTTTTTTACTTAATAGGAGACTGAATAAGAGAAATGCCCATGGTAGTACAATAATCAGAAAATCAAAAGAGATAATAACTAAAAAGTTCAAAGTCTACGACTTAATGGCAAGAGTATATATTTGGGTCAACTGTTATTAATCTTGAGTACAAGTCAATCGGTATGAGAGTCTATTTATTTGGTCTTAGGAAACACAACATCTTTAATACAAATAGGAGTCTCCTGTTACTCATCATGAATCTAAAAATATTTCTATAATACTTGATGAGTCTTGGATGAATGAAATTATAAGTGTTTTTGAAGGCTTGGTGCCTTCACATCCCCTCTACCTTCTCCTCTCTCTTCTTTCTAAATTCTTCTCCATCTCTCTGATTTCTCTAAAATTACAGCAATTATACACAGCTTGTTTGTTCGCTAAAATATTTTACTTCTAAAAGTTCCAATCTTAAGCCCACAGCCACCATAACCCTAGGCAACATAACTTGCAATGTCCTGCATCAGGAATATCCAAAAGTGGATGGAGATAGGATTGCATGATTTTGGTGTGGTCTGTCATTTCTTGATCCTGGGAATAATATGCTATTTGATTTTTGTTCCTTTGTGTAGTTGTAACTTGAAATGGCCTCTATAACCATCCTCTACATCAGTAGAACTATTAAGACTGCTGGTCAATTATTTCCTTTATTCGTAGGTATACATCTATTTCCTTTCTTATGAGGAAAAAAAAAGTTACTTTTCTTGAATATGAAACATTTATTATTCTCAGTTCTTTCTAAGAACCAACTTCAGAGAAAACATATGAGAAATAACATAGACCATTAACATTGTAATTCCACACAATTCATTAACTGCTATTTCCACTAATGGAAAACATATGGTTTGGCTACATGAACGCAGACTACGTGGTGAGATATCCAATTTCAGACAATTTTCACCTCTGCAGTCAACTGCAGAAGCCTTGTTCCTCGTGAATGCACACCAAAGACAAATGCATCTATTGGTAACTATTAGAATAGCAATTCTGACATGACAGGACATTACGGTCACTTCCAAGCCTATAGTAGATCCACCACCAGCAAAAAAGCATTTCTGGAAATATGAAACTTATTTAGGTCTTAGTGTCTAACTAGATCCATCAACGCTAAGCGTCATAAATGCTCCTGAATTCAACTAAATCTAAGGGAAAGCTCCATACTGAGCAAATCTGTGCATGATATACTTCAGTTTGTGCTTTAGCCAGAGCCACACATCTGAATTATATAAAATAGTATCAAGGAAACTAGGACACACAGCACGAGTGTGTGCAAGCGCATACATACAAGATTACCAGAAATCATGAGAGAACCAATTCCTTTCCCACCCGATCCTAAATTTAAGGTGAATTAACTCGTACCAGATCCACAAAACACCATGAAAACTTAACTACTTAACCAAAAGGTGAAATAACGCATAAACCATCTCCTCAGAACATCAGAAATGCTTAAAACGAAGTGAGAAGGCCATATCCTATATATAGCCAGGTGAGTGAAACATTGCAAGACCTGAATTATAGAACACAGTGTAATACCACCTGCGCCTTCCTTAAAATAACCATAAAACCCCATTTATTTAAAATCACAAAAAATCCCTAAAATTAGGTAAACCACTACCACACATCAACACAACAAGGTAAACTACCAAAACCCCATTTGCTTAAAACATTCAAAGATCCCCAATTTTACAACAAAGATAAATATTACCACATACCCATTTGCTCAAAGCATCAGAAAAATCTTATAATGTAAAATAAATAAATAAATAAATAAATAAAGGAAGAATCAAAGTGAAGCATATATAAATATATATCTATATATAGATTAGAGAGAGATAGAGATAGAGAGAGGGGACATACCACTGAGCTTAATTGCCTCTTTGGCATCAAACCCAGACTTGGTTGAACGGTAAGGAAGGATCCAGAAGATCCCAGAGAGAAAAATTGATAAGCTGAGAATTAACACAAAAACGCATCTAAAGCTGAAGTCTTTGGCGATTCTATTAAAAACCATCGAACATCCAGGACAGATGAGTCCCGAAGAATTTTCACCCCCATGACTCTGCTGCTGATGCAGATTTTGCTCACCCTTCCCCATTTGCAGAGCATCTGGGATTTCCCTCTCTTTCTTTCTCAGTCTAAAGAGAAGAGAATACAAAAGACACAAGAAGCAAAAGAAGAAGAAGAAGGTGAAGGTGGAGATGTGAGGGACAAGTGTTCATGGTGGGTATCGCCCTGTTTAAACCATTAAACCTTCTTTCCTTTTCTTTTCGTTTTTTACTCCCTCTCTCTCTCTCTCTCTCTCTACACTCTGTCACTCACACACTCCTCTACTGACTCTATTCTTTTTTTTTTTATCTTTTTTTATTCCAAGTTATTCTTTAGGCTACCGAACGTTGAGAAGAAGCAAAGTTCGAAAAAGAAAGTGTGAGAGAGCATAAAGATTAAAGAGATGAAGCTATTGATGGATAATATTATCTTATAAAAGTGAAACCAAAAAAATGCTCCATCCGCTATGATTTTAATTTGAAAAGTGGCTATCTACCATATTCATGGTGGCTTTCAACAGGATTACTAATTTTTTATGTTTGTTTTTAACTTTGAGTTTTTCTATTTAAATTCAATGTAAGTACGAGTTAACATCAATTTTTTTTTAATGTAAAAGGACAATAAATGATATATAATATTTAAAACCTAATCCTAGTCCATTTATACACACCAACCACCATTTATCATAACCTGAAACAAATGTATGAATATCATTACTAAGCTCCACCCCAATTAAAACTTTGAACTTCATAACCACAAATGTGTCTCATCCTCTAACTCTAGCGTACTCTTACTTAATCAGCTCAACGACATTCAGAAGAGTAGATGTTGGACATAAGAATAGCAGAATTCAAACCCAAAATTGCAGGTTCAAAGAAGAAATCTAAGTGTCGAGAAGTAGGTCTAGAGGGACGAGATACAGACTTTGTTGGTACGGGATCTAGATCATCCCCTCTAATCTTTTAACTCCCTAACTTGATTTGTAAGGGTTCAGTTTGTTTTGCTTTTCTGGCCCCAATTTTTTGCACCTCGACTATTGTTACATATAAGAGTTAGAAATGGCATATTCTACATAAACTTGGCCCTCGTATTTTGAATTAGGGTCAAGTTGATCCATAATCAACTGTATTTGAATATTTACAACTATATCATTCATTAATATGCTATGTATATCATGTAAGAATCGCAAATTTGTCTGCCCTATGTTGTTGGTTGAACATATAATTGTAACATCTCCCTAAATAAAGAGGAAACAACCTCTTTGAATATGTCAGGCTTGCAAGCCGTGGATAACTTTGATGTCGTCTTTTCTCTGCAGCTCCATTTTTACCTTTACGCAATGCGCACCTCTATTTTTCAAATCCATCATATTTCAAACCATTTATAAAACTTCCAAATACCCCAAGTTTTCACCGCCACTTAATACATGTCTTATAACGAAATCCATAACTACTTCCATCAGTCAATTCAACATGTAAGGCCAATTACTCAACAAAACTAAAGATGCTTATAGTATGCATTCATACAGTAAAAAAATTGAAAAGTGAAATCTGAAATCAATTTTTAGTAGACTGATTTTGAAATGAGTTTTCGCTTTTTTTAAATTTTAAAACTGAAATTAGTTATCAAACATGTTTTCGGTTTTCGGTTTTCAAAAAACAATTGAAAAATAAAAACTAAAAATGAAATGGTTATCAAACAGCCCCTATAATATAATAAACCTGACTAATATATAAGTAATATTTCTAAAAATAATAAAATTAAAAAAAATTAAGAGAGAGGATTGCGGCTCTTTTGGATAACACACTAGTAAAGCAAGCCCTTGGAAATTAGATATCTGCCTCAAGCCTTGGAACGTAAGAGGAAGGGAACTAGGGTTGGAAGAAGAAATAGAAAATCGATGAGTAAATTAATAAGGTACGTGTTTAAAAATTCAAAACAGGAGGAGGAATTAGGGTTTCCAACACCCAATCTTTTGAATTAGGGTAACCAATCCTTAACATAAAATACTGATAGGAGAATCTCCCCCGATAAATATACAACAATCAACTTTGAAGCTGCAGCCTTTAGTCTATACATCAAATTATTGAATGAATATAATACCTTAGGATATGAGCTCCTTGTGGCACACCAATGAATATGGTTATACTGGAGACAATTTTAAATGTTGCTGGCTTATTGTTATTTTTTCTTTTTTGTGTGTTACTAATTTTAAACAAATTGGAAGCCATGACCAGTTTACCAGTGACCTCAATTTGATGTTTCTTTCGCGCAAATGCACTTATACCACATGCTGTTATACCAGAATCGTTGGAGAAGTTTTGTGCTATGATGTGTTAGTCTTTCTTTGATAACAAAGTGAACTATTGTTCTTGGTTATTTTCATCCACATTATTATCTTTCTTCATATATATTACAGCACAATTATTGCAAAAGTTCAGCCTTAAATCCCAGGTCGACATGAAAGACTCTTTCTTAGATCAGCATTTACCTGCCAATTCCCTCAAGATAGGTAAGCCTCAAATAATGTGCAGTTCCGTTTTCATTTAAAAGCTTCTTTGACAGAAAAAATCTGTCACTTAAGGCCTTTCCATGAGCTCGCAGAAGGCAGTTGACTTAAGGGATTATGTGAATGCTGTCAGCGATAATATTCAACCTTGTTGCATTATACATTTGGTATTCATTAGTTGATTAACTAATCTGAAGTTTAGGTTGGTGCAATGGCTCCTGGGACAATCGGTAGTGAGTAAGTGGATGATTTCATATTAGGTTATGCCTCTCATAACTTATCTTCGTCTTTTGAGTTGTATTTTCTGAAGGAAAAAAAAATGTAAGCAATACATTTTGCATAAACATTGCAGAAGGTGAAGCCTGAAGGTGCTCTGGTTGTAAAGTTAAAATACTTCTGATTTCTCTCTTCGGAACTTTCATAATGCATTTATCAGAAAATCGTAATAGTTAGGAAATTTTACCCCTTTGGTAATATTTTTTGCTTAACACTGCAAGCAATCTTGGCCAGTCTGATGGTTTCTTTGATTGCCAATTTGCCATGATACTTCTGATTTCTCTCTTCGGAACTTTCATGCGTACCATACATGTGTCTTCTTTCCTTTTAATAATGGTTTCAAGGAAAGAAAACGCTATGAAAATTCTGGTTGCCTTTATGTTAATTGCCTATATGTTCCCTCAATCGGATGTCCCAAATAACGAGTTTTGATAACTTAAATGCAATATATGTGTGGTGATGTAAAATTAATTAAAAGAGTGCTAAAATGTAAAAGTGGACTGATTATTAAACGAGTCTTTAATTTATGTACCTTGTATGAGAAATACATCGAATTCTGTATCTATAAACCCTAAACTTCATTGAACTTATGAATTTCTCTTCGGTTGCCAATGCAATGGAGAGGATCAATGGCGGTGAGCAAATACACTATACATTCCGCAAAAATAATATAAAAGAAAAGTAGTGGGCCCCATCATCCTAAATGTGAGTCAGCAATTTGTCGGCTCATAAAGTTTTTTTTTCTTTTTTCAGCAGCGACCAATTTCTACGCAGCACGTGCTAAGATTTGTATTGTATATGGGCAGGCAACAATCACGAGGAGCCCTCCCGTATATTTGAAATTGAATAGAATAATATTATTACTGAAAACAAATAACATGTTTGAACGGTCGAAAATTCAAAATTTTAAACCTAGCGGGCCACTTTTGGGTTTTAAATTTCCTGTCATGCATCCTATGAATTGAAAAACAGCGTGCTATAAACAATTAAAATGGAGGAAAAGGAAAATACCCAAAGGGGAAAAAGATCTAGTCATATTTGATAAGAATCATTAGTTTTATGTTTTTTATTTATTTAAAAGTACAAGCGATTTGGAGAGTGAGATTTATACAAACAAATATTCATTGGGTTGGGTGCCGGATTTCGAACCTCTACCTATATGAATGGAGGTTGAAGAATTCAATCAACTGAGTTATACTCCTCCTGTCTTTTTCTATAACATTAAGAACAAGAAATTATTTTATAAAATTGAACACAAAAAAAAACTTTTTCGATAACAAAAACTACACATTCTATGCACTTGAGACAATTATTACGGGAGAAGTTAAGAGAAATAGGAAAATAATCGGTAGTTACCATTTTTGCTCAAACTCTATTAAACTTTCTTTATTTAGTGTAATTTAAATAAGGGAATAATACAACAAAGATTATTCTCCTAAATAATAGTATAAATAGATTAATATTGTTTTTTATTTTGTTTGTTCTGTGCATTTCCAACAAAAGAAAAGAAAAAGAAAAGAAAAAACAAATATTTTTGTTCAAATTTAAACAGAAAACTAAAAATTGAAAGGAAAAACGTTAAAAAAAGCTTTTGAATTTTGAAATGACCCCCAAACCCTGATGCACAAGCGCGCCTCCCCACAAAGACACGCTCGTTTCTCTCTCTCTCTCTCTCTCTCTCTCTCTCTCTGTGTTGAGTCTGTATATATAATTGTTGGTTGTTAGGGAGAGAGTGAGCCAGGGAGCCGAAGCCTCTCTCAGATCCATTCTTCTTTATTCCACATTCAAATTTTGATCTGTAAGCTCCCTCTATCTTTCTCTCTCTTTTATCCTTGTGTGCTTCATTTGTTTCACAGATTTGCTTCTGCTTCTAACATTGCTACTGATATTAATTGGTATTTTGGTACATCTCTCCTGAAGGAGCACACTCTATGTTTGAATTGGGTTTCATTTTCTTAATCACTTAGGAACCTAACTGCGGGATTTTCTCATTTGGGTTCATCCCAAATTGCTCTAAATCTTCAGCCTCTATCTGGGTTTTATAAATTTCTAACAAAAGCTTAATCCAATCTGCACAAGTCATTTAAATTCCGCATTTCCCATATGGATTGTTCCTAATTTCTTTAGCTTCCTTCGTTTCAGCTACAAGTCTTACAAACTGCATTTTCAATAATTTTGTTTCCTTGAATTATGATTTTCTGTTTATAGAATGACTATCTTAGTATTTCTGGGTTTCTTTTGCATCCCAGAAATTAAAGAAACATATTTCATTTTAGTGTTCCCGGGACAAGGAACATTATTAAATGCTGAGCACAAGTAACTAATCTGAAGACTCGAGAGTGCTTTAGAGAGCATAGATTTCCTTTACATCGCCTGTGCCTGGTCATAATAACTAAATATTCTTGACCAATCTTATTTCTTTCTGAAACTGTACTAATTCTGTAGTATTAATTAGTTTTGTCAAGTTTTTAACTTAAGGTTGTAAGTATCTTGGTAATGAATGCTAAATGTTTGA